CTCTCTCTCTCTCTCTCTCTCCCCTTTCTTTTTCTCTCTATCTCTTTGTTTCTCTAACCCTTACTCGACCCTTTCGTTTTCATTTTCTGTTATCTTCACGTCTGTGTCTTCCCACAATTAATAATATGCTGATCGATCGAGATACCCGTTCCTATCTGTCTTTCTATCACATTTTCTCTCTTTCTCTCTCTCTCTCTCGCTTTTCTCCCCCCTCCCCCTACCCCTGTATATCCATGTAGTCTGTATTGCAGTGTGACGCACAAGCTGAAGTTTCGCGTTTTTTCGTACACACAGAAAGAGACATGTACACATCTGTACGCGAGTCATATACAGTCAGGATCGTCATAGTCGCCGCGTCTGTCACGTAGCTAGCATCACACAGGGTTTAGCTCTGCCCCCGTCGAGATTGAAATCAACGTGCGCCTCTCTCGCGACCGAGCTTTCGAATTATGGGATATCTCGCGACATCGAGGATGGCGGCTCTACGTCGTCCCGATGATGCTACACGTCACTGGAGGATCGGCGAGAGTTGTTTCTGCGATTGTTGAAGTACGTATGCGCGCGTAGCCGCTGTTCTACTCGCATCTCCGACGGGAACGGTACATCGTTGCCTTCAAAACGATTGTTTATCCCCGTGTTATTTTACTACGAGCTCCGTGTGCTTCTCTCATCGAACGCGAGGGAGAAAAAAAGAAAAAGGGGAAAAAAGGAGAAGGATTATTTGGGCCAGGAAGTTCCATGAGCTAGCATTTCTCGACGCTCGTGATTTCAAGACAACGCGTCCGCGACGCAAATTCCGGAGACGATCCGAGCGAGCAGCCTAGCCGAATTTAAATTTCAAATGCGATTATTGCGCATCGCGATTCCAATCGATCGCAGACGGGAGGAAACGTGATTCACCGAGTGATTCGATAGAGCGTTTAGCAGTTTGCCATCGATGTCATGCTCGAACTGATTAGATAACGACGTTCCTTTTTTCCGTCCCTCTGTAGCTTGAAGCTACGCACTTGATTCAGTCGAATATTAATTTTCGCCAGCGATAATGACGATCGCGCTTGCTGTCGAAACACGTCGACCGCGCGACTGAACGTAACGCGACGATCTCAACGATGTCAGGCGAATGTCAATGGCTAATTGCTGTTTTGCAAGCAGCTTTGGAAACACGTCAGTGTCATTCCTCGACGGAGCAACGCCGCGGCGCGTGACTGGAGAGAGACGCGTGTTAGCCCGAAGTAGCTCGCAGAAACCAATTTCGCGCGCGGTTATCGGCGAGAGCCGATTTAACTCCGGAATTTTCGATTGATCCGGATGTATTAGGCGCTCCGCGTGGCACGTTTACCTTCACTCTTCTGCTACATGTTTATCAGGGAGGGGTGCCTAGTGGGGCCAGGTTTCACGCTGAGCAAAGTGTTCTCTCTGAAACCGCTTCTCGCCGACAACAAAGATAAATGGGGGCTTGCCCTCGATGGCCAGATCAAAGACGAGGACACCAATCTGGCGTCCAGCACCCTGTAAGAAAACCGCTGCCTGTCGATGGACAACACACGCCTGAATACATACATACATATATATATATATATATACACGTGTATATATATATATATATATATGTGCAGGACTGTTCAAAAGTTTGGGTGACCAGCTACTTAAATCTCTCCCTCCCCCTTCCCTCCCTCCCTACCCTTTTCATTTCATAATTTCCATCGAATCATTCGAATCGTCGTCTCGTTGCTTCGAACAGCATTCGCGCGGTTGCGCGTATTTATTACTGGTCGATGCATTTGGCACGTTTCATCAGACATTCCTCTTCGTTATGTCGAATATTTATCCTCCAACAACGCCAATATTCTAACCCAAGCTTTTGATCAGTACTGAGTGTACGTGCTGCTCTGTTTCTCTCTCTCTATCTATTTATCTATCTATCTATCTATCTATCTTTCTTTGTCTTTCTCTATTTCTACGAGCATCATAGAGGACCGATCACGCATCGCGCGTGCGATCACGACTTCTCTAAGTCGCTAGGCGTGCTCGCGTACTGCCCAGAGATCATCCATACGCGTCCCGGCAGTTTCGTGTTTCATCGCGGGAATAAAGTGGATTAAAACATACGGTCGCGCGAGGAAGAAAGTTGCGTTTCATCCTTGGATTCTACCGAAGTTCGCGTCACTCTGCACACTTTCAACGACAGGCGTGAAAGGGCTTGGATCCTGGTCCCTTTTGTCCTCTCATGTTCCATACGTGATGAGAATCTTAATTGGAGTAGCTGGACCGCGTTTTCACTTTTCCTTTTGAAACTCCGAAGCGTTCGTGCCGCGAATTTGCCGGTTCTCTGAACGTAATTTTGTCTTCGTTTATTTGTAAACCAGCGTTCCGTGAGCATTGCAGTTAGCAGTCTCATTAATGTTCAATTACTGTCGTCATCGATGGCGATTAACTTCTGACAGCGTCGATAAGCGAGACGAGCTTTCAAAGTCGATAGAGCCTGTAACTCGACGAGCAAACTCGTCCTTCGCGCGCGCCTGTTTCCGCGGGATGAAACCCACGCGATAAAAAGTTCATCGTGGACTTTTCTTCTGAAGGAGAAAGATTGGCGAATCGTGTTTCGATTATAGATTACTTTGAATTACCGTTTCGGGGAAAAACGAACGCTGAGAATGCATCCTTTTCTCTCGCTTTCGATTGTTTCTTTTAATAACGATGTACGATAAAGATGTTAGCATAGATGCACGAATTAAGTCGAGTTTTTTTCTTTTTTTTTTTTTCGTTATTTATTTGCAAAGAACTAAAATATATCTTAGCCACTTTGCAAAAGTTTATATCATTTATCGTACAATTTTCAGATTTCCAAAATTTTATTCAAATTGTGGTAGTTTTCAGTCAAAAAACAGTTTTCCCGATATGTTCGAGTGTTTGACCAGACGATGCGAAAGTAATCGAAACAAATGGTAATCTGAAGGGGATAGATCTACTGAATAAATGAGTGAACCTACGGAAAAAACATATCACTTCTTTTATTGATTTATATGGCCACATATGGCCACGTATTTCTTTTTTTTTCTTTTTTTTTCTTTATTGAAACGCAAATATAGTATTATCTGATATTCTGCTTATTGGAACGTTCTGTTGGCACAAAGAACAGATTAGAATTGAACTCAAAATAAGATTGCAATTGGCCAAAAGTCGCGAATTAACTTGTACATTTAATAATTGAAGATTTATGTCTTAAGTGAGTAGATCGTTGAGAAATAGATAAAGCTGTGCAAAATTTTTTTCATTAATAATTACTCGATAAAAGGTTCCATTGTTCTAAAATTTCTATTGATTTACAAGAAATAGAACTACACTTAGTATTATCACAAAAATAGTAATCGAGAAGTCCGTCCTCATTAACAAGAATTAAGTTTGCAAAATTAAATAATTAATTAAAATAATACATAATTATAGTAATTACTTTATAGTAATTATATTTATTATTATTTATAATTATTTAATTATATTATTATTATTTTATAGAAAAATAATACATAATTATAGTAATTACACTGAATAATTATGTTACAATAATAATTTATTGTGCCAATAAATAATTAATAATCAATCAATTGAACAGTTACATTTTAGATAACACATTGTTTGTAATTCAGTATTTGTAAATCAATAAGAATCTCTTACATCAGATGTTCCAGTTATTTGCAGCAATCGAAATGACGTTTGAAGAAAAAGTCGAAAAAGTTGCGTATGAAAAGAATTTATATATTTTATCTACTTTTTCACAGCTGAGGATGGTCTACTTGAGTTAGGCCAAAATATCGTTGTGTTGAATGCACAGAAATTTTAGAATCCCGCCATTGGCTTTGCTTCGATTCGCCGATACTTTTGGTTATATATCGTACGGTATTATTTCGCTCGATCGAAAATAGCGGCGCGTTGCCTATTCGCTTTCATCGCGTATGCACGAAATATAGCACCTTCCGTTCCGGAGTTCTATATTCAGAGACGAAGCACACGTTTTTCTTTCACGTTCCGGATCGATCCGATCGTTTCGCGTAAAACCGTCTTGCGGATGAAGACCATCATCTTTTTCAGTTTCTCTTTGATTTCACGGAAACGCTGGTAATTTTGTACCAATTTGCGATATTGCCTTTCAGCCCACGGGCAAAATAAACACGCGACGTTTCCATCGATTTTGAAAACCCGCCGACAGGATGATCAAGTGCAGAGGCATACGTTTGCTCCGCGGAACAAATCGTGTGTCGTGAGAGCACTTCAGTTCGCCGAAAAAAAATTGAAAGCAATTTAATTTTGATATCGCTGACTTTAGAAGAAGGGAGGGGCAAGCAAAAAACGTTTTGTTAATATCTTCTCGTTATCACCGAGATAACGCGACCGCGTAATTGGGGAGCTCGCTTTCACACGCCGTTTATCTATCTCTTACTCCCGTGTTCTTCAATTTCTCATTCGAAAGAGGAAAGATCGATCGGTTTTTTTTTTTTTTTTTTTTTTTTTTTAAATTTAACGAGAAGATCGTACGTTTGGAATTCACGATCCAGGAGAAGAGCAGGCTGCATTCGCGAGGTAATAATCGCGCGTGTGTTTGCATTGTTGCACTTTCGATAAGGCGATGAAGACGCAGCGTGACGATAATTGCGACGGCCAATTATGCGAATAATCGCGGGCAATTTGCGATAATTGACCGGCCGTCATTTTGCGGAACGACAGGCGAGAAGTCGTGAACGGCAGCAGTCCTGTCGGTGCTCTGTCGCGTTTTCGATGATAACCGATGACTGTGAGAAATGAGCTCTAGCTGACTGGCGATGTAGCGGACTTGTATCTTTTAGCGCAGAGATCGCGGGATGAGACGTTAGGCGTTGCGTTTTAGCTGCTTCATTAGAGCATTAGTGCGTATTTCTGAGCGGGATTTCGTTTGCAACCGGGAGCGAATGTACACTTGGTTGGTTGAGTCGGCCATGAGCCGTAGACTCGATTAGATTAGCGTCGATTAGACGCTAGAAACGCATTAAAGGATCGATTTTGCTTCGTCGACACTGCTGCAAATCCTCAACACCATCGGTAATAAGAATCTACCGTGACGTAAACGAGTGCGGTGGAAGGCAAAAATTTTCGAAACGCAGTTGCTTCCGATCTTTGCATCTTGAATAATGATCTCTGGGTATCTTGGATATATCTTCGATATATTTTTGCCCGATGATACTTCACTTCTACCGCACTGTTTCGCGTCAGATTGTACGAACTCCAAGACGTGTGAGCAATCATGCTTGATGCTGTCGAAAATCGATAGAAACCTGTTCCCCGTGCTTCGTTTTGTTTGAATAATCGCTTTGCTTTGCATTTGTTGCTTTGAAGCTGCATGACGATACCGTGCTCGTTTAGCTAAACGCTTCCTTTACGACTTCAAGAAGCCGAGACTATTCCTGTCCTAACTACTACCTGTACAATATTTTCGTACTATACTGTTTGTTAGAGTATTCCTTTGGGCTGAATGTTGATCGCTTTTTGGTAAATTCCAACTGCTCTGCTAACTGTGCATGCTCCGTTCGAGATACATCGAAAGACGAGATTGACGAGTGTCCGTCTTGTTCCCGCAGTGTAGTGGATCCCTCGCAGCGAGAGAACCTCGGGATTATCGTCCAGTACAAAGTGAAAGTAAAGCTCTGCCTTGGACCTCTCGGAGGGTAAGTTTCATATTAACAATGACTGATAATAATCGAATGTAACCGATAACAATTATCAACCGTATAAATAAAATTCTATCGACAATGGTAGTGAAAACAATCTTAATCATTCATAATGATTATTCGTAATCAGAACAATTAAAAGTTAATATTTTTCAGAAATTCTTTTGTAATTCTATCGATAACTAGCTTCCACTTAAGTAAAAATTCATTTTTATTCAACAACTTTTTTTCCCCCCAAAAAAGTGCTCGAAATGTCTGTTTTATCTCTGGTTAAATTTTGTTGGAATCTATCGATAACTGGCTTCCATTTAAGCAAAAATTCATTTTTATTCAAGTTTTTTTTTTCCAAAAAAAAAAAAAAAAGTTTGAAATATCTGTGTTTGGCTCCTATTATTTTTAACTCTCTTAATAAAAGAGCCGACATTTCGGTTTTTCGTAACAGAACGGGAATAATAGAAAATATCTGCTGAAACAATATGTATGTTTTGCCAAGATTTTTACACGTTCTGCCCCTACGACGGACTTTGTAATTTTAGACGTTGAACGGGAGAAATTGCTAAAATATTAAAACGTCTAACGTTTCTCCAATTTAATGTTGTCGCAATTTATATCAATGTAAATTATAATATAAATATACATATATACTCGTGAACCCAAGTCGTCAGGAAATGAACGGAGAGTTTAATTCACGTTGTTAACAGCGAATTAGTAGCGGAACTGCCGTTCATCTTGATGCATCCGAAACCGGAAGAAGAGGAACCAGCGCCACCCACCGCACGGCCTAGTCCGACGCATAAGGCAGATGATGGCGAGATACCGCTCGACACGAATCTGATTCAATTGGACACGTACGTGATCAATATTTCAATAACAATTACGAGTTACTCTCGTCAAGCGGAGGACATTTCGGCGAAATCATTGACACACACACACACACACACACACACACAACTCGCTGACAATTCGCTTCTTATTCAACGAAATTAGTACTGTAGTATATACCTGCCACATTCGAACTAAGGAGGAGATAGAAATTTGATTAAATCCGTTTCCTCTATTTTCAGTTATATGTGTTCAGGTGCAGACGAAGAGAATTTTTGGTTCATTTCTATTTATATTTAAGAATTACCTAAATGAAACAATTTGTTTGGCACAAGTAATTTTGTAGAATTTCATTCCTCTTGTGCTTCGAATCATCGAAGTCCATTTTTTGGGAGGGACATAAGACACATTCCCATCATTTTTGTTTACTGTTTCACTTTGTGCACAAATTATACCCGCGACTATATTTTTGTTACTCGTTAATAAATGTTGATTTAGCACATGATGATATATATAGAGTAAATTAGTAGAAGAGAAGGCATTTGTTACTATTAAAAACCCCTGTTCAAACATTCGAATAATGGAACTACTGTATTTTGTTCCGTTATTATACCAAATTTTTTTTTTTTAATTTTCTTTTTAAATTGCCAATCTTTCCTTGTTAGATATTTAGTAAATAGAGACATGGTAATAAATAGAGATCGTAGAGATTTCAGGATTTAATTTTAAAATTCTCTGTGTCTCGCTTCAGGGAGGCAGACTGCGACGATGACATAATCTTCGAAGACTTTGCCCGTCTGAGGCTGAAAGGTGAGCCGGATGCCTGACTACATGGTTCCAACTCGATCGACCTCTTCGAGACAGGCAAGTGTTTGGCGGAGGACGACAACCATCGAAAAATCGTCTGCGAACTGCATCGCGAGGATCGACCGTCGTCGCTCTAGGTCCTCGTAAAGATTGGCCAGGGATGAAGTCTTTCGCATCGTTCGAACGGACCGATCGCTGGAATAACGATTCCTTTTCTTTCGATGCCCGACGAAGGAATTCGTTCCCCGAACCGTGTGGTCAGTTCATCATTAAATTTCTACATTTCGACACGGGATAACATCTCCGGAATATGGTACTAATCATCGCACA